ACGGACGAATGATGACGAACGGATGGTGGAGATTTTCGAGATCTCACACCTTCGGAAGTTTGACATTGACCAAATCATGCGTAAAAACCTAAGTTAGTCTACTTCCTAGAGGTGCTGAGAAAGCTTATGGGTCGCCTAATTAGAAAGTACATCTTGAGTTTTTAAGGTACAACAACAACTGAAATGATGGGTGAGAATCGAGCATGACATCGAATGCACGACACCATGTCTAGGATTCCTGCCCTGTCATGCAGACGCTTCTAAAAATGAGGCTTTGTGCGGTTTTTTGATTAACCTGAATAATAATGAGAGACCCCAAAACGATTAACTCTATATAAGCACTATCCTAATTTCCAGAGAGAGCGCACATCTTGCAAGGTTACCCAACAAATTAACCAAATGAGCTCACGGCATTTCTACCTTGATGAAATGGCGTGAATGCATCAAGACAATACGTACCACAAACAAATATTCACCTGGAAATAACTTTGTTTGTTCACACCCATGGTCAGCAAATACTTAATTAGTTGTTAAATGGAACAATAGTTTATGCAGCCATTTTTGCGGATTGATACGTTTCATCTATTGCTGAGTAAAATGCATGCACGTGTAAGCAACGTGTTGGGGGAAAAATTATTGTGAGAGCAACATTCAAGAGAATCTTACACTTAACTGACTAAGGTGTTCACTTCCGTGAAAAAATCAGTTTTCGGTTATATGCAAATTATTTCTGAATTCAGCAAATTAGACTAAATAGGCATATTTACCCAGACGCTAATAGTTTTCCAGATGTCCACATCAATAGTAAAACAATGAATTAGTTCTCGCGTCATTGGCGAGCTGTAAATGAATGTCAAATCGCGCGTGGTTGATTTTTGCCGCATGTGCATCCAAATTGATGTTAGTGTAAATTCGGATAGATGATACAACTAGGAAAACAGTAGTCCCATCGTAAACCATCAAGCATAATTTAATTTCAACTTTTCAACTTCCGGGAAAGAATCTGGTATAACAAATTGCATCTAGTGAATAACACAGCCACAATCAGTTTTCATTTGTCACCAGCCATCACCGGGAGGCGTTCATGAAAATTTGCCGAACCTTCTGTCAGATGTAAAGATCTCGGCGACTTTTATTCCTACTCCTCACCAAATCGGTCAATTTTCGTCCAATCTGCGTGAACACGTTCTCCTAATTAACTTTTACATTCGACCCTGCTCCATCTGCAACAATAGTGAGTCACTCACGTTACACTGCAATCTGTGAGTCTGAGTGTCCCTTCATTTGTCACCACCCACCACTCAGAGGCGTGCAATGCAATCTGCCGAACCTTCTGATGTAAGTAAAGATCTCGGCGACTTTTATTCCTACTCCTCACCAAATCGGTCAATTTTCGTCCAATCTGCGTGAACACGTTCTCCTAATTAACTTTTACATTCGACCCTGCTCCATCTGCAACAATAGTGAGTCACTCACGTTACACTGCAATCTGTGAGTCTGAGTGTCCTACTATCATTTGTCCGTACTTCATATTACCCCACTTCACCATCTCCACTTACACCTTCTGTGGCCATACTCCAATCAACCCAAGGCAATGATGCTCTAGTGATGGTTTTGAGCTTTAGTTCCTATTGACCGGCCATGTCGTGGCAGGTCTGCTGCCTCTCCGGATCCATTATTTTAGCTCCACACTTCCTGCAGGTTGAAGATATTGTCACGTTCCAGGCGGGAGGCTTTTGTTATGACCTCACTCGTATTGGTTTTGCCCACCACTTTTAAATCCTAACGATCAGATCTTGTGTCATCCGACGTGTTCTTCATAGGGGATAAATAGCCCTTTTAATTTTGGATCCCTGCCTATGCCTCCTCAAGTTTGGTGAAGCCTATTTCGTTAATGCCCACTGTTCACCGTACCGTCCCTTTTCCAGGAAATTCCCATTATTCACAACCCTCATCAGTCATGCTCTTATTCTGACTGTAACGCTAGGATCATGTCTGAGGGTATGCAACCCACTAGTTTGGAATATACATTATCATTATTATTACTGTGGATACCCAACCAAGGCCAAGAAAAGGAGCTTATAACACCTTTGAGTATTATAATTCGTAGCAAGGTATGCACATTTGACCGGTATTCCGAAGGATCTGGCCCCATCAAAGTGTGTTCCCGCGAAATGTTACCAAATGGATGTCCTACAGCATAAACTTTTTCATACGTACCGTTGTTATACACATCTTCGTTGAGACGTTGTTTCTTCCATAAAAACATTTGCACTGGAAAATTCTGCCTATTGGATTTTTATCAAATAGCGTGCCAATAACACATCAAATGGATACGGCTCTTGATGAATTTGCCTTCAACAGCTACAATTTTCCCAGCAACTGACCGAACCGTGTCACAGGAATAACCCTCATTGTATATATATATATATATATATATACTTCAGATGACCTTCCACCCACTTAGGAGTTCATTACATCCATATAAATCTACGCTTAATAGCCGGATTTTACGGTAACTGTGGCACACTGCGCTCAACGTGAACAAAATTAGTGCAAGCCATTGTTTTTAAACGCTTCTGCGGGCATCAGGAAAAAATTGTCTATTACGTCATAGATGTCGAATCAACGCAACCTCAAATAATAGTTGACGTCCTGGTGAAAGGAGGAAGGACTTCTTTGCGGGTGGATTTATTCGGAAATGCCAACTGACCGGTTACAGACCATTGAATAGGGAAGCAAAACGATAATCTGCATCTTAGTTACAAAAGTTGGACACAGATCTTTTCCCGAACGAGTCCTCCTGGAGCTTCATTGACTCCAATCATTCGTCAGTCAAATCCAAGCAAACGTTACAAACTGGCCCCGCGAATTCCGCAACAGAATTCCCTTTATTGATCGACGCAAAGAGAAACTCTACGGACAACACATACTAGTCGCGTGCCTCTCGATCGATAGTATCGGCGTTACACACCCCCACCGCTTAAAGCTCGTTCGCACGGCTACTCGGCCGCTCTACGGGTGTATCATGCCACTTGCGAGGCTGCGTCCCATTCACTACTTTCGATCCCCGACCATCTTGAATGGTATAGACGCTCCCCCGGCGATCGGTGACGACAAACGGCACTTGCCATCGACTGCTCAGCTTCCGCAACCCCAGTCCACTCCTTCCAGGGTTCTGGTGATCTTTCCACCTGACCTTCGTACCTATGGGGAACGTTCGGACCTTTCTACTCGCCGTTTTCTGCCTAGTCCTTTCCTGAACGGCAGTCAAATTTTCTCGAGTTCTCATTCATTCTTCCTCTAGCTCCTCCGGAGACAAGCGTGTTGCCGACCACAACCCAATTTCCTGATCAACCGGAAGGCGTGGATGTCGACCGTACATTCACATAAACGGAGAATTGCCTGTGATTGACTGCATGGAAGCACGATGAGCTAGGAACATCATTGGCAAGTTCATTTCCCAGTAACCTCCTTTGGCCGCAAGCCACTCCCTGAGCGTTCAGTTATTACGCTCGGTCAGGCCATCTGTTTGCGGGTGGGATGAGGTTGTCATTATCCGTCTGATACCAAGCCTCTGCAAGCAAGTACTAAACTCTTCGCCTTCTAAGCAAGGTCCCTGATCGGTTAGGATCACTTCTGACACCTCACGGTTTGCCACGATGTGATGCATCACCACTCCACTGATCATCGTCGCCCGCTGATTCGGCACAGCGGCCCTCTCAATCCATCGTGACAGGTGTCCTGTCATCATCACGATGTATTGGTTCCCACTGGTTGTCAACGGAATGCGGCCCATGACGTCAACTGACTGCGACTCGCCGATTTCTGGAACAGGAATGGGTTCCATGGGATTGGTTGCCCCTGTCGCATGTACTTTCATTAGTTGGCAACGCTTACAGGACACCACATAATCCATCATCTCACTTCTCATCCCGTGCCATTACGGCCCTCTGCCGGAGCAGGTCGTATGTCTTGGTGCACCTTGTATGTGCCATCTAAAGGCAATGAACGATGAGATTCCGTCTCAAGACGCGAGGTATCACGGGCAGCACAATATCTGAATCAGTGGCGTTCCAGGAAATTATGCCAGCTTCATTCAGCCTCAGCCGATCAAAGTGACTCTGGAAGGCTTCTAATTCCTTGCCTCCCTCTCCGCTCTCAATGTTCCTTCCATCCAACAAGGCGGCTGCAACCTTTTGTAACACCGGATCCTGCCGATGGAGTTGCACCAACTTTCCTGGATCTAGTTCGACGACGAGGACATTGGCTCCAATCGTGATCTTGGGGACCTCATTTTCAGCCTCTGGCCTTAACAGTCAATCAGCCAAGTGGTTTTCCTTCCCGGAAACGTGCTGGATTCTGAAGTCGTACTCTTGCAAACGGAGTATCCAGCGTGCGAGCTTCCCGCGAGGATCTCTGGTCGTCCTGATCCATTCAAGGGATTGTGATCGGTTTTGACATGAAACCTTTGCCCCAGGCAGATATGGTCTCCACTTATCCAGGGCCCAGAGGATCGCCAAACTTTCCTTCTCAGTGGTGGAGTACTTCTGTTCAGCGTTACTCAGGACGTAACTGGCATATTCGATAAATCCATTCTCCTGCTCTAGGGCTGCGCCGATACCGCGATCACTGGCATCCGTTGCAACAATGAACATCTCTCCGACGTTGGGAAGTTTGACGGTCAGTTGATGATCCAACATCCGCGCTCTGACACACTCGAAAGCTCCATATTATTCTCTTGTCCATTCGAATTTCCGATTTTGACAGAGCAAATCGTACAGTGGCGCAGTGATCTTGTTGAAATATTTAACGAACCAGCTGTAGTATGCTGCTCGTCCAAGAAACTGCCGTAGGGACCGCTTTGAATTTGGAGCAGCACAATCCTTGATCTTTGTTAATTTTTCGGGTAGTGGGCTAACTTCTCCCTGACCCACTTCATGCCCCAGCAATGTCACCGTACTCCAAGCGAGCTGTATCTTGGCTTCATTTATCCGCAGACCAGCCTCCCGCATCCGCTCCAACACAGCCTTCAGTTGCTCGTGCCCACCGCAACTGGGCACCAAGCGCGGGCTACACACCTTCGACGAACTGATCCGACAGCAACTGGTGTCGCAACACCAGTGTTGGCAAAGCGCGATCGACATCTGCTGCAGGCCGGCGAAGAACACGGTCGGGTCAGACCCGGGTGCCATCTTGGCGGTCTTGAACCGCCTCATAGCCTCCTGGCGGCCGGCCGGCGGGTTGAACTCCGCTGCAAGGACTTTCTTTGCGGCGGCCCAGTTCATCTTTCGGCAGCATCCAGGGCCGCCGTCGCCCGGCCCTTGAGCAGGTTCTTCAGCGCTGCCAAATTACCCCGGTCGGTCTCCTGCCCGGTAGCCTTCGCAACCTCCTCAAAGTCCTCCAACAATGTCCGAACATCCCCATCATCAAGTGTTTGCTGCCACGGAATCTTCAATCTTATCCTGGCGACGGCATCAATTGAAAGGAAGAAGCCATTCGCTGCGGAGGTATTTATTCGGAAATGCCAACTGACCGGTTACAGACCATTGAACAGGGAAGAACATCTCTGATCTGCATCTTAGTTACAAAAACTGGACTCAGATCTTCCCCCAAACGAGTCCTCCTGGAAATTCATTGACTCCAATCATTCATCGGTCAAATCCAAGCAAATGTTACAAACTGGCCCCGCGATTTCCGCAACAGAATTCCATTTTTAATCGACGCGAAGCGAAATTCTACGAACGACACGTACTACTCGCTTGCTTCTCGACAGTAGTATCACGGTTACACTGGTAGCCATAATGTAGAAATATCACCGATAAGCGAGACTGCGCGGGCGTCACTCATTCGATTAATTATGGCCGAAGAATTTCAAGTGCATAATTGGACATCCGGGGACAACGAGGAAAATCATTTTGAAACATTTGGCATCAGATTCAGTCGAATGTAACAAACTGTAGCCAGATGTCCCTCTTGAAAATAGAAGATTTCTCTGATTAATTGGGTTTGTAGATTCCCGCACTTAAGTGGCTCAACAGAGGAAACCAAATGCTCTCGAGTAACGTGATTGGAAAATAAAGGCAGCCCAAATAATACTGTAGAGATTTAGGCTAAATAATGCACTGTTTCCCGGTATCTTCTGGCACCCGAAGAGAATAGGATGTTTAGTGCACTATATACTACGGCGCTAACATCCCGCTAACAATAATATTCAATAGCGATTTATTGGAAACACATGTAAACAGAAAGCATAAACAAATTTTGAATGTAATAACCGATTTTTAAAGGCAAATTAATGCCAGGATCTTATGAACACAAACAGAGTTGTTCCGAAACCGCAGGCCGGCTAGGATTAATCCCTAAAACAGGGCTCAACTCAGCAAGGTCCGCTCAGAGTTGTCTATCTACGTCGATAAAACGACACACAAAAACCATGGAAGAATATTTATATCTGCGTGTATGTTTTACATACCAGATTTGTTTTAATGTTCAATTTAATGCTCGGCTGATTTGAAATATTGTGCCACAGAAGGGTCGTTCAGGTTTGTAGTGCCCTCAAAAATGGTTAAACATTATGCAGTGTAATTCGGCATGATGTACGTAGTTAAAATGTTACCACGTTAGAACACCTTGTGATGTTTTTAAATCAGTGTTTTTGTGACGGTTTGATTTGCGGGCACTGCCTGCGTAGTATGACATAATGCGTGGGCGTTGATCTGTAAAGTTTGTCGGCCGGATTCATGTTACAGTAGCATTAAGATTAATGTCACATTAGCTTCATTGCGTTTGCTTTCCTTTGTTAATTTGTCGTCATAAATCGGGCTTGCTATTAAGTAAGCAAATAATTGAGGTTACATTTTATAATCAGTGATTTTGTGGTGTTAATTCTCACGCGCCTTGTACTGCATGAAGATTAAAACGATTGCATCTTAGTCCTGATAAAACGTGGACATCCAGCTAGCAGTCCGTGATCAGGGATCTTTTCACTGGATAATTAAAATTAACGTTCTTTTCGGAAAACCTGAGAGCTTTTGCAAATGGCGTTCTTCCTGACGCTTGAAATTTTTCACCATAACCAATAAGCCATGAGTCCATAGGAAGAAAGAATTACATTTTTTTAAACAAAATTGCATAGCAATAAGCAACACGTACCCAGGGAATGCAAGCAATAATCCAAAAAAATCAACAACCGACTGCGTACGTGCTTGGCTAACCAACTAGTGGGCATCGAGAAATGGGTTTGGAGATCTAGATCTATTATTTCTCATCAATTACGCATCACGCATGCGGAATTGTGTTCATCTCATAAAGTTGGTAGATAGTCAGATGAGAGATGCAGAGCGTGCATGCATAGTTTTCTCATCTGTTATGTCAACTTTACCCGCCACCATTTTTGAATATCTCTGAAACTCTGGGATGTTACCTCACTCACCATTTGCCAGCATACGATTAGTTTTGAGCGCATGGTTTTGGGCATCCTGAAAAAAGCGTTACCAGATTTGAAATCGGGAAAACAAATTTTCACAACACGGAGCCGCCACTTATTCTATCATTTATATTTGAACAACGTAGTCGCAAACATACAAAGTGAGTGCAAGCAATGAAAAAAATTTGTTAAAGGGCAATAGAAGATTCTAGCCGGAAACGTATCTTGCAAAGTCATGCTGTCACCAGTTTCAGTGGAATAAGATGAATCTCGACATGTGTGACAATTTTTGGTATGGAAACACGCGAGTAATGAACAACAACCGAAGGAAGGTCATTAAATGCTAAATGACCTCCAGGGCGCTGTGAGCGCTAGCAGAGCGAAGACTTATACACGATTGATCAGCGTTTGTCACACTGGTTGCGGTATGAGTTTCAGTGGGCAGGATATACACTCGACGCCATGTAACACGCATGAAAGTCTTGCAAGCAGGCGGGGAGCAAAAAAATTCCAGTCACTGACTGCGACCTCAGGAAATCCCGTCCAATAAGGTCTTGCAAGCAGGCGGGGAGCAAAAAAATTCCAGTCACTGACTGCGACCTCAGGAAATCCCAGTCCAATAAGATCGTTGGGTCATTGTATCTATTGCACTGTGACGCGTGGTGAAATCCTATTCGCTGGTGAATGAAGGTTTGATTTTTGAGCACATGCGGCTTTTATTGTGGGGGAAATTAATTCGTAACACATGGCACTGATGATACTCTGCTGTCTGGGTTCCGCATGCAACGTATACAAATGTGAATAAATACGCAAGACTAAAATAAGTGTAAGGATTAGTGCAAGTAAAGCACATACATTTTTAGCCGTTACTTGGAATAAAAAGCATAATGTTCACTTGGCTGTTTGGAGTTGGTGCACGGTTCGTTACGTGTGCTCAAGGGAATACTACGAACAAATGTCAAATTCGTTTGCTATTTTACACCTGCTCACCGTTGTACAAAATGTGCACTACCAAACCTTTCAAAGCGTTCATAATCTTTTTACGTACTACGCCGATTTTCGTCCACTTTATTGTTAAAATAATTAACTGTCGTAATCTGGAAAAAATTGGTAGAGAAGGACACTCCGAATGGGCAAAGAGACGATCTGCTTAAAAACGTCAGCATGCTCTCTGGCGTTATTTCGAACGCGTGACAGGCATTTCATTCAAATCCATCAGATTTAAAAAGCGGTTGCCATTTGATTCGTTTAATTGTAAATTTTGACACTAAGGACCACCGGCACATAACGCTTACAAAAAATACCGCAAGCTATGCCTGATGTATATGTAGCAATACACACACCACAAGGCTTCAACTATAAATAATGTTGCTAAATGCCATTTGTGGCCGACAATACGCTAGCCAAATTATTGAAGTCATTAGATTTTAGAAAATGATGCCTCCTACAGCCTGTCTACTTGAATGATTAAAACGTCTCGTTACGTCGGCATTAACGTTCTGAACAGCCGCAAATATATAGAGGAAACTGCACGGTATTTTCAAACAAAATAAAAAGTAATATTTTGAGACGCGCCGCCAACAAACCAGCACTTGCCATTTGACTGTGTACTTGCAAAGATGTCACATATTTGCCTGTGGTTTAGACGGTTAATCTCTTTACCGATTGTCTTCATACAAATTTAAAATGCATTTCCTTAAAAGTAGATTTCCGTTCGCCTAGGTCTTGGTGACGGAGGGTCCGCATTTTTAGTTCAGTATCTACTTGGTAAATTAAAAAAATAAGTGTGCAAAATGCTTACCGTACCCTAAATAGGACGAGTTGATCAGGCAAATTTCTACACTAAATCTGACTACGGTTCTCAGTAGACAATTCTGCGTCTCGCGCTTGATCTTATACACCTTGAATATGCGTCTCTTGGTTTAGAGGGGTGGTAAAGTATATGAGAACGAAATAACATATTGTGTCACCCGCCTGCAAAGCCTTACATCCAACTGCTTCACGCTACAAAGAAAAGAGAAACGGTTTATTGAACTGCGACCTGAGGAAGGAGGCAATGAAGTCTTTTGATTGTCGAACTGCAATTGCCTAAGCAAAAAGCTACTGACATATATCCTAGTCCATTGTTGTGAGGAAGGGTTTGAGGTCCATTTGAATCCCTTGAGCTCTCATTTTAGGCGATGTACTACGAAATTGATACTGATGCTGGTGTCATATAGACCGAAATTGTTATTTTTGTTGGCAGAAATGAAACTGAGCTTTTCGAAGTTCAGCGTATTTCCATTATAGCTGAATTTGACGCGAAATGCCTCCACATCACATCCCAGTTGCTTAAACAAGTAGAAATGACCGCCTGTCCTCGTTTGTGAGCGCAATTAACTGCAGCCACATTTATAGCAAACTTGTTCCTGTTGGGCAGATAAGGCCGGCATGGAATGGCCCCCGTACATGTGACAGAAATTACATGGTTTCTAATGTGCACCCCTCGTTGGCGCTTCGTAGCTTTTTTTTTACAAAAGTGACCATAACTGACATAGGTTACGCAAAAACCGTACAGTTTTGCGCTTGCTCGTCGCAATGCAACCCAAGTTATTTTGTTAGAATTTTTGAGAAGCTACCTTTTGAGTCGCGAATGACTGGGGAATTGCTGCTTTCTTGCAGCTTTTGTCCCGAGGTTCCGCAATACGCTGAAGCACTGGAGGTATCCTGAAATCAGGCCGGAATAGGAGAATCGCCCAAAGTTCTCTGGGTTTATCAAGTGCCGCATACTTTGGAACGTGGCCTACAAACACCCTACGCGCTCTAGTGGTCGTTATCGACAAATTGTGTATAAAATCAAAAGAGATGGCTGAGATCAAAAATAAACAAAGCTCAAAGCTTTCCCAGTAATGTCAGTTTGATTTGGGAAACAACGGTAGTTTTGGTTTCATATATCTGGAGCATAAATGGACTGGACTTATACCGGAATTTCCATTATTTTGCATTATCATATTTTGTTTTATCTTGCATGCCATATGAAGCAAACCATGCAATGTGTTCGTGGACTGAGTTAGAGTGTCGTTTTAACTCAAACAACTGTTCAGCAAGTGGGGACGAGTAACGAATCAAGCAAACCGGTTAAGCGATACTATTCCCGCATTTACGATGCAAAGTTTTGAGCCGTGGCACCAGGCAGCAACAGCCCGTGACAGACAATTATGTTTTTATTGAGGAGGCAGGAGACCAGAAATATTCAGGCGTGATCTGCTCAGTGTGCTTGGTGAAAAACTTTCTGTAATTCCTGATGGCCTCATGGTTTTGTAAACAAACCAAGGATGCCAAAAATGATTCATATTATAAACAAATAAATATGAAAGTGATACATAAAGGAATGCAATAGATCAACATTTGAAAGCGTGAAAAATTAATTTGCCGTCCGGGATAGGACACACAAGGAAGGTTACCGCATGTTAAATGTGTTCCAGACATAAAATTTTGAGTTCACCGGGAACTATACGCAAGAGATTGGCGTCCACCGATAATCAAACTCAAAATTTTCCCGTAGCCCTGCAATCAAAAGGAATATGGAAAGCTTTGAAATATGTTTTGATGCGGAACTAAGTTAGAACTGCATTTCCGACCATAAGCACCCGAATGAAATAATTCAGAAGTGTAAAATCGCTGAAACGTTGCTCCCCAGTTATTAAGAGTCAACGTAATCAGGATGATATCCAGCATAAAAAAATAAATTTAAGTTTAATCATCTTAGTCCAGCTATTCGTTAAAGGTTAGCACAACACGCCCATTCACAGTCTTAACCAGTAGCAAATCATATAATAATGTATTGCAGACTCAGAGTTTTGACCTCTGGTAGTTTATCTGCTGGACCAGTGAGTGCAAGCGAGCACTCACCTAGTTTGAGATATCTCCGAAATTATTGATGGATTATTAATTAAAATGAATACACCTCCAAGTACTTTTACACTTACATGAGAGTCACGAACGAGGCAAGGCAAACAGTGATCCAGTGGCCAAATAGTCGTTGAGCTTTCATGACAAAAAATATGTTCCATGAAGGATCAAAACAGTCCAACATGAATAAGTGATGAAACTTGGCAGTGTTGACTGTTGTGCAATTAATAAGAATATCATGAAATAGTGTAAAGCAATGCAGGTGCTTCTCTCGATACTGACTCGAGACGGAAAACTCAAGGCTACACAATTGAATGACTCGGATGCCTGACATGAAAAGTGACGAAACTAAATACTAAACCAGATGACTAAATAAAATGAGCGAAATGAAAAGTGGCGCGATTGTTTAGGATGTCGGCACGCGTTAAGGAGTGTAATTTAATTTTTTGTCTTCGGATTAGACCAGGCTTCTTAAACTCGGGAAAAGACGCCAGGTAAAATATACCCGTGGGACAACTCGGACTGCGTGGCTACTTGCAGACTGCATGTGATAATAGCGAGAGAAACTTCTTCCGAATTATAGTGAGAGCGATTATTACACATTTTTATTTAATCCACAAAATCTTTTCGAAGAAGTCTCCCTGTGCCAATCAAGATTTCCGTTACCTAAAACAATGTTAGAATCCAGCCACTTTTAACGGTGATTAATTTCCATTTGTAGTAACCTATGCGGCGTGTGTGGCGTTCTATTTTTGCTGTTTGAAAGCAGAATGAATTCCAGGGAGAAGCCACAACCGGCGCAATCTTGTGGACTATTGCGGTCTACTGCGTATGATATTCTAAGACACCGACGAATATTTATTATTGGTTTATGCTCAAACGGAACAAGTACTGTTCAGTAGCTAAGGAACATCAATTTTACGTGATTCTTATCTTGACCTAGTCCTAGCATGCTTTTGGTTTGGTCAAGATTGCCAAACATGAAAGATGTGACTAAATTTATCTCACAAAAAGTCAGTACACTTCTGGATTCGGTTTTCGAAGTTAGTAGTACTAGATGATAGGTATTATCGTCACGTTTGCCAGACGATTGTCAACTTCTTTACTGGTGCGCAAAGTGAACCTAGTAATTTGAAAACATCTGTTGTTCCGAACTTTGAACAAGATCACCTTGACTACCCGACCAAGATATCCGCCTGCTGTTGGCGTACAATCTGATAGAAAATGATGATTGTTATTTCAGAAACGGTCTGGTAATGGCATGTTTAATAAAATACACATTTTAAGAACTGTAAGTTAGTACATCTGTTGTGGCACAACCACCGGTGATGCAGCATTCCGCGAACCATCCCGCGCTCACATAAATTGCTAGAAGCATCATATACACTTATCACACTACCTGTTCATTTCTAGGTTCAAGGTCATATGCAGGTGCAACAAACGAGGTCTCCAGAGCATTCCCATATAGGTGGCCTGAATCGTTCCTTCCAAAAATTATGAAGCAGTACCTGATGTTTCTCCTCAAATATATCTCCTCAAAATATCAAAGCGTCTACATAAATTAACGCATGGGATAACAACATTTGATGTCATTTCTCCGTCAATAGTCAACATGATGCCGCTATTGAACGATGCTCCATAAAAGAAACATTTCTAAATATCTATACTGGTACTTTGGTTATGGTTTGTTTTTAAGCATGAATAAAGTTACGCTTTTGTCCGCAGGCTGAACTGTGAACTCACCATCTGATTTCGTCGAAAATGCATGGTAAAATTGGACCAGTAAATTGATATTTCAGAGAGTTTGAGAAATTCTACGTCAGATGCATCCAGCTAACATGTTTGGAAGAAGATACAATAATTTCATTTGTTGCGCAATCGGAAATATTTCCGTTCGGCATACAAATATCTGCATATCGATAGGGTCCATATTTGACTCTAAAACAAATTAAAAAAGCACTGAATCCTCTTGCGTCTCCGAAGATCGGCGACACTGTCAGCAATTCAGTGATCTCCAGTACAGACCAAATACCATGGCAGTTTATCTAGTGCGTGCAGTATTGCTGCGCGAACGCGCGATAAATTTCACTTTTGTACGCGAATTATTGTTGCAGAAGAAAGTTCGACTATTAAGCCGTCGAAATAATCAAATCTGACTGGTTGCTTCCAAGCATGGTGTCACTAAGAGGGATCTCATATAGTTGTCATTTACATCAGTCGACATACGGCCTGGTATCAGACAGAAAGAAGTATTTTACGTTAAACTGAATGTTCACTTCGGAACCCGTCTGGGCTTCTGCCTAAGTTTTGATTTGTCTACCAGTACCAGGATCGAAATTTGTGAAACATGCTGCATCGAAGTACTACCGGATTCTGGTCGGAAAATTTCATGAACTATTCAATGAATTCGGTCGAACATATGTGGTAATGTGTGAACGCCTTCCCAGTCTGTCTTCGGGATCGCCACGATGCAGGACGGTATTTCTCTGCACGTAGTAATGATTTTGACATCTTACCATTTATGGAGCCATAGTCCTCGTAAAACATCAGATAAGCACCTCTAGTCTGATGCATTTGCGAAAATTTGTTGCCTTCAAAAACGCAGGTCTGAAACCTGAAATAGCTAATATACGGAAACATACGGCTGAAATGTTTGTGCCAGGCTACCAGCAAAACTAGAACGGTGTTCAAGACGGAGGATCTGTAGATTCCGCCGGCGCTTCCGGCTGTTGGTGTAAGCATGAAACCCAAAGAGATTCCGGGAAAGATTCACCCTCAATGTTCTATTGTGAGAAATATTTTTAGGACATGTTGTGGACTTACTTCCGGTTGCTAACGAGTTATGTGCAATTGAAATGGAAACAGTACATCTCGGAATTATTTTTCCCCACTGCATCTTCTGATGACTGTTATGCACGCACGAGAAACTTTGCGGATGCCATCGCTATTTGTCATACAGCCAAAATATTTCGAAGTTCGAGTGCACTTGGAATTTCTTCGATGATTAGATTACCAACGGTTGTTTGGAAGCCTGATTTCGACTGTGAAATGCTCCCTCGATATATGCATTAGTCCAAGATGAGTTTTGTATTTTAATATAAAGTATGTATATCCAGATATAGCTACATTTCTGTTAAGAGTTCCCAAAGAGTTCCCAAATAATAATAATAATAATACTTTACTAATAATAATAATAATAATAATAATAATAATAATGCTCAACTATTTTGGCAGTACTGTTGATATTTTAGTACTTTCCCAACTACAAAGAACGCGATTACAAAAAGGTGATCCGTTCTTATGAAAATTGTGCTGAAAACCCAACAAGCACAATGATCAATCCTCACCCGAGGATGGATACAGGCGGCCATGGGATGGTTTCCGAAAAACAGTGTAGCACATGTGCACTACATTTTCCTCTTGTTCAACAAAGACATATGTAGGGGAGATTTCGGGCCTATTTGGCATAACAACTAGCCCTTTGCTAAAAGCGCTCCACGAGTTTTGCTCAATGGAGTTAGAAATATCACCGCATTACAACAACACACCGCAGAAAATGTTGCCTTTACGACTTTGGATGCCTCATGGTCCCGACTGGGACTATTTGTTTGGCGGTATATTACCATGTGCGCCCCACATATAGTGCACCACTGTCCTCAAAACCCAATATAGCAAATATCCTTACAGCACCAACGAAAGCACGTTACATCTTTATTCGAGATAGTGCTACCGCAGATTACTGCAACCGAAAATACACTTTTACTATGTGTTTGATAGGTTCCATCGTAATTATGTTGGTTGGCAGCGCAGTGTCAGTGAAACTCGGCGAAATTTTGGGGCTTTAGGCTGTATCTGACGATAAAAAATTCGTAGCGATTATTTGGATGTTTTATTCTTTGACTTGCGAGGTACCTCAGATGTATGGAGTGAGCATGCGTCGCGTTGCTTTGTACATGGGCACATTACGTCACTGTGCTGTTTTCTGAAATGTGCAGCCCAATTAAACCCTCGGAGCGAACATTCAAATATCACTTGAGTTAGGTTGGCCCGTTTACTTTGCAGAGATGTGCAAATCGGGATGACCCCAATGTCGCCTTTAACCACGATCGGGGTTCTCAGAATAATTACCCGTCCGCACTATCTCGTGCACTATGAAGAAACCTATCTGAAACCTATCTGCATCGAGAAATTGAGGTATGCGCCTCCACATCATAGTTTGCAAATTCCTGGATTTCAAACTTTTGAGCTATCATCTCTGATGCGCCGTCTGTACATCGGCTCCACCAGGTCAGTTGTAAGAGACTTGTGTATCTTGTTCCAGCTTGCAGCTTTTCAACTTCAAACAGAACGCCTAATTAGTGAAAGTGAAGTGTATCACAGAACGCACCCACAGACACAGGGCAGGATGTCAACTAAAGTCTGCGGCTAATATTTAAGCTTGTGAAGCAACCAAAATAAAGGGTAGACACGTTCCGTGCTGCTTATCGCCCTCAGACGATTAGATCAGTTTCGCTGCATTTAGTGGAATTCAAGTTGCGGGCGTGACCAACCACAATTGACAGTTTGGATATATGCAAGTGAGCTTGGTGTTCTGTTTTTTTACGGTAGTGTTTAGTTTCACCATAATTTCCCATTCGCTAGTTTGCTATTGCGATAACTACCTTAAAATACCATGTATTTATCGCACATGATTAAACTTCAGAAAAAATTACTTGGATTGTAACAATAAAAGCATCCTGTTGCCAAGTAACAATGTGCGGCGGAAACCATTTTCCTAATCGGACGCTAGTCATATGTATGCTGCTCAGTAACAAAAATGTCTACAGAATGTCAGGTAGATTTTGGAGAAGCTTTGCACCAAAATACTCATTCATTTTGAGACATCAACAGAAATTTTATTTTTCTGATTTCACGAGTTTATTTTTGGCAAAACATAGTTCGACCTATTCTATTTGCGCCCACTGACAAATGCAAATTACTGACTGTAAGTGGAATATCCTCGCTTCCTTACTCACAATCTATTGCAGCGTGATGCATTGTGAATTTTCTCTCTCACTTCGGTCATACCGGACCACATACTGCTTTCATGTATAAAGGAGGCAATCTATCCAATGTGAAGGTTCCCATTACAAGCGACAGTTTTTATTAGCAAATTTAGGTCGGGCTCACGACAAGCGATTGTCAACAATATCTTCACTTGCATTTTATCCGTCGGCTCAAATCATCTGTCCAACATGCGACATGTTACCCGGGACAGAGATCATAGATGAATGCTGGTAATTGTTGTATTTGTGGCCGCAAATATGAAGTGCTGGTATGCAATGCAATCGTGCATATGCGTCCAATGGTCGTTTGGTGTCGCAGACATCACCCTGAAGCGCTGGAGATTGTCTGTGGTCAACAAAGTCTACTGTAATTGCGCGCTTGTAATATCCGCTTAAGACACCAACGATCCCAGGAATATGAGTATCAACGTTTATTATTCAATAATAACTTCGCTTGCAAAAGACTTCAAAGACCAGAACGACCTCAATAAGCAAGACAAATTATGAATGGTTGACAACGTCAACGTTGCGCGGACCATAAGTCTTCGCAAAATTGTTTCGTGTACTCCGAAGTGTTTATTCTTACTTTTTTCATTAACTCTAGGCCCGCAGAATAATAGGGCGTACACTATAGAATTAAGGTAAGTGTCATTTAAAAACTTATTCATCCCGCAATAAACCGCAACGGCACCATATCTTGTTTGTCGGTCAAGTAGCGCGTACCCACAGGCATGGATTGAAGAACTAATGAAACGATGAGCGTGATATTTGTACAAGTGGTTGCCAGTAATCGAAGGAATGATGAAACTCGCGTGCATACGTGCCATGCACACGACTGAATATTTACGGGTGCGTTAGGAGTCAAGAGAAGCATCCCTGAATCATCACCACGATGTGTGTATTTTGGGTTCATCCGCACAAAAAGTAAAGAGCTCAGATGACAACGTGACCACGTTTGCATTATGTTATGATGCTCCTAATCAACAAATTAACACAAAAGACTCCAACCAGAAGGGGATTTATAATCCGCAAATGCGTTTAACCATAGAACAGAACCCCGCCCATGGTGTTAACCTTAATACTCTATGAAACCCAGTTTATCAGGTCAGATTTTAATCCCATCGTTTACTGTGCTTCATCATGCTTGTTAGTATGCCACTCCCGATGTAAAAATCAATACTATTGTTGCTATTATTGTTATTATTATCATGCTTTTTAGCCCCAATTTTACATAATGGTTAACCGCGAGTTTATAACCGCATGATTCATTTTAAATCCCCCATGAAATTCTCCACAACATGTGCTGCTGACGTTCACGAACAAAGTGAAGACACTGTGTGTAAAAAGCATGACCAAATTAACGTAACCGCAGGGTTTTATTTAGTATATTTTCATGTCGCAACTGTAAGTTGTGCTGCCAGCTGTACTCTGCATTTTAGTGTTAACAGACCAAAGTTAGCTTTGTTCGACGTCCTGCAATAATTCGTGGAGGTTAACATGACTAGGGCTGATAAGACCCGCTATGGACCTCACAAAAATATTTCTTTTGTAAAACATTTTCATGAAACTTTAGACAGCAAACGAAATATCAAAGTAATCAGCCGCCATCTAGAGCGGTACACCGTCAAGCCATTGGCAATATAGGCCTGCACATTGTCAAATCTCGCACGCAATATCGCGAATTTTATGAGATTTGTTTTAAAAACGTTTAAGCAGATGCACATTCCACTGTCTACCAGTAGAAGCGTACGGTACGCGGAGAAATAGCCCTAGTTCTGTTACAAAATTAACTGATGATATGGTTCAACAGGCTTAAATTATCTGCAAATCTCAAAGTCCGGTTACCGGTATATTTGATTCACATATTTCCGTAAATCGTAGGTTCTCTGAATAATTATTTCAGTGCACTGATTGTGAAAGACAACACGATTTGCCGCGGCACAACGGGATGTAGTATGTACTATTTATGGTTCAACCAGAATTACTAATATTATACTGACTCAATGTTGAAATGGATTCATTTGAACCAACTGTGTGAGGTATATGGGTAAAGGTTCATCATTCGCATTGCAAGCGGGTTTCTTAAATTGAAAACAAAATCGATTTCATTGATTTCATTGAATGTGTCATAGTATGAGACATGCTGATCACTGTGTCATTTACACTAGGCGTTTCATTTTTATTACGTATCCTAACGGTGATTAATTAGTGTTCTACATCCCCGATTAGTGAATTAGGGTTTACCTGAAATAACGTGAGAGAAAGGGCTGAAAAATGACTAAAATGCACCCACACGCAGTTCAACTCGAAACCGGACAAGCAGCGGTTTTTTAGACTATTCGTGACATTCAAACAAAGAAGACCCGCAGAAATTTCAGAAACCTGGTCATGTGCGACCGAACTTTTGCTGCTGGAAGGTTCCAACATACATTTTATATAATTTCAAGGATTTAAATCAATTTTATAGCAATTTTACATCATGGGTCAAAACGCCCACGACTTGTGGGAAGAAAATGTCCGTAATTTATACCTGTGCTGACAAGAAAGACTTTAGAATTCACCTGTTCTTACCACTCGCAGCCACCAACTGCAACCTAAGCCGGGCACACTAAATTCGTCAAATTCTATCAAACAATTTTCTAGCTTGTGCTACTGTCAAAGTCATTGCACACAAGTTGTAGGAGCGCCCATGCACACTCACGGCGCAGGATGTCAATCAAGCCCCATAATTACAACAAAAATCAAGAGAGAGACTAAGCAGCTAAGCGCAGTGGTAAACGCGTTTTGTGTTACATGTCATCTTTCCACAACTGAATCAATTTAGCTTCACTTACAGCAACAAGATGTGCCACTCCAACCGGATGCATTCAACAGTTTTATTGTAGGCAACTGCGCTTAGTATTTGCCGGTTTAGGGCAGCGTTCAGAGAAACATTTTATCGTCCGCCTTCAGTAACAAATTATAACAAATCATTTCGTTAAGGGGTATAAATTGCTGCTGGCATCCGAAACAAAAAATGCTCACCTGGTTCAGCTTGCACTTTGTTGATTGGGGCGAAAAAGCGCGAGTTGATCATTTTTTTGCGGAGTTCTCTGGAGATTGCAAATTACTGCCTCTACTAAGAACATCAATTGGTCCGAGAATGTCTTCTACTGTTATTTATACATGTATTCATATACATATTCATATTTGAAATTTCGTAAAATTTTACAAGAAATACGTTCTGTTATTCTTAATCAGGCTGATGCAGAGAAAATGCTCTGTAATTGGCATTAATCCCCAATACCCTACTCCACACAATAATTTGCATGTATATATTAACATGTACACTCGAGAAAAACTGCCCGTATCAGATACATGACAAATTTAAGGAGCTATGGAATTTTTGATTTTCATCCACCTTTGGTTCCGCCCACAATCGCCAGCGTCGGTATAATGGCTGGCTGGTAGCTTCCAAAACTCTAGGGCTTAAGTGTATGTAATAAAGCTCGTGATTGTCCGTTTATATGGCACACCGACAGCAAATAAAATCCGGGATATTTTCACGGGCGATTATTATACCGGCATATTATGATGAACACGCCACCAAATAGACAAGCTGATTTGAAAACAAAATATCGAAAGCTGATAACATGAAGGGTGATTTATATTTTGGCCAAATGGTTTCGCAAATTCGAAGCGTTTCATTGTTAATAGTTTTATTGAATTAAAGCATCTGACCTGTTAGTCTAGGGTTCAGGCAAAATGCCGTTTTGAATGTTATTCCGACCGCAAGAACCTAGAACCACGAGGGTCATGCGTACTGATCACAGTCACAGTTACATTGGCCCCATTGGTGACAAGTGTTGAACGGAGTGATACGAATTGCAAGAATGTGTATTCTACACAAGCACCGAATTTGCGTGGATGACCGCTGGCTTAAAAGCACACAAACACCTGTGAGTTAGGTTATGCAAAGCGTGAAGCGAGTATGTGCGTCAGTGCGACTGTGGTTGTGTTACGCTCTGGTGCCAAACAATCTATAGACTGGGAAATATTCTGAAACGCTGCAGATGCCGAAGCTGAAGACTCAACCTTGCCACAAACGACGAAATTAGGATACTTGCAATCCAGTCTATGAGGCAAGAATAAGATCTCGTGCATTAACACGCAAGCTTAAGCTCGCCAATATAAGGCATGATTGAGCACGTGGGAAAACCAGGTGTTTCAAACAAAATTTCCAAATAAATTCTGTACTCTGATCGTTGCGATTTGCGGCACACAGCGTTCGTAAAATGTACTTGTTACGCGGCCACATTACCGTCACCTCCATTTGGTATTCTATGTCATTATGTGAGTAACAACTCAAATCTGCAACGTTCTATGCACCTAAGACGATTTTCCTTCCCCCCGGTATTCGAAGAACTCATGTTAAATTTGAAACCTATACTGATGAGTTCTAACTCAGCAATATACACAAAACACTTTGCACGCGTGCTAAGTTTGAGAAGGTTGCCGCTCCAGTCTTGATGACGGATTGTTTAATAGAACACGTGCATTGTCAGATAAAATTCAAAATCTAGCATCGGCCTAATTTACAGTTTAATGCACACCACAGCACAAACTGTATGAGCTTCGTTAATAAATGTTTTCTCGCGAAAATGATTCGTTGTTCTCCACCATAAACGTGTGGCAGGGCCAAAATTGGTCCGGCCAAGAATTAGCAAACAAAGCTCTAGGATGCTTCAAAAGGCTTAAGAAATCCGCAACTGTCAGAGAAATAATAGAGCTGCCGGTAGAAAGTATATTCGTTCACCAAGATCTCTCAACTTAATTTTCGCTAAATATTTAAGTACACTGATAAGAGACACTAAAATGTTCTTCTGACGCATATGCAAATGCGGTAATCCTGTATTCAACTGCCATACTGTTTGATTTATCGAAACAGCGACGTGATTTATAAGTGCTACACATGCTACTCTACACTTATGCAGGTTTGTGGAATCTTGCGCTTTATAAGGCCATGAAACAGTGCAGCGGAATAGGTTCTTGTGATTTGACAATCGATTGCCGTGGGTGATCATTCTGAAGAATTTGTACAAATAATTAAATGCTATTTAACTTCAGAGACATTTGTTTCCACAAGATACTGTCTCATTTGTGCATCACACTTCTGATTTGGTGGTCAAATAGGGTCACTGTGAATGAGTTTGTGTGTATATGTGGTTATGAGTGTACTTTGCCTTAAATGATATTTCGTTCGTTGTTCTGCAGGCTCTGGTGCGTCACTTCTGAGAACCCTGCTTAAAATCCGATCCCTGTGTCCGCTCAAGTTGCCAGTCAACTCCAGATACACGGGATGTTAGCGCAATCACCGCCTCAGCGTGCTGATCTATAGGACATCATCACATGACCCTTCTACATGTGACTTGAATCCTGAATGTAGTAGGCCTGAACTATCATGAGTGTTCAAATGATTTGACCCAAATGGGTGATATCGTTTGCGCTCCGCAACTGGTGCACGGAGCTGCCTATCTGCCTGACCTATATATTTGGCTAGAAAACAGGCTGGTCAAACATTGATGATGAGGCAGGTATTTCAGATTTACAACGTAACGGAATATTTAAGAATGGATGCAATTCATTGGAAAAAAACAGATAT